GTACTCTTTGATCTTCATCAGTAAATGTTTTAAGTCCTCTTCACTTTCAGCAAGCAAGGTTGTATCATCTGCATATCACAGGATGTTAATGAGCCTTCCTCCAATTCTGATGCCACGTTTTTCTTCATAGAACCCATCTTCTCAAATTATTTGCTTAGCATACAGGTTGAATAAGTATGGTGAAAGATTACAATCCTGTCACACACTTTTCTTCATTTTAAACCATTCAGTGTTCCCATGTTCTGTTCAAACAACTGCCTGCCTCTTGGTCCATGTACAGATTTCTCATGAGCACAATTAAGTGTTCTGTAATACTCATACTTCTCAATGTTGTCCATAGCTTGTCATGATCCACACAATCGAAAGCCTTTGCATAATCAATAAAGCACAGATAAACATCCTTCTGGTATGTACTGCTTTCAGCCAAGATCCATGGCACATCACCAATGATATCCTTCATTCCACATCCTCTTCTGAATCTGGCTTGAACCTCTGGAAGTTCTCTGTCAATGTATGCTTGCAGCCAATTCTGTATTACCTTTAGTAAAACTTTACTTGTATGGGATATCAAAGAGATTGTCCGATGATTTCCACATTCCATTGGTTCACCTCTCTTTGGAATGGGCACAAATACAGATCTCTTCCAATCAGACAGCCAGATAGTTGTCTTCCAAATTTCTTGGCATAGATGAGTGAGTGCCTCCTGTGCCGCCTCACTTTCTTGAAAGATTTCAATTTTTATTCCATCAATTCCTGGTGCCGTGTCCTTTGCCCATTCCTTCAGTGCACCTTGGACTTCATCCTTCAGTATCATTGGCTCTTGATCATATGCTACCTATTGAAACGGTTGAACATCAACCATTTCCTTTTGATATCCTTCTCCAGTGACTGTTCCCTCCTTACAATATGTCCAAAGTATGAGAGATAAACTTTGTTCATCTTGGCCTCCAAGGAGCACTCTGGCTGCACTTCTTCCAACACAGATCTGTTGGTTCTTTTCACAGCCCATGGCACTTTCAATGTTCTCCAACACCATAACTCAAAAGCATCAATTCTTCTACGGTCTTCTTTATTCACTGTCCAGCTTTCGCATGCATATGAGGTTATGGAAAACACCGTAGCTTGGGTCAGGCACACCTGAGTTCTCAAGCTGACATCTTTGCTCTTCAACACTTTAAAAAGGTCTTGTGCAGCAGATTTGCCTAATGCAATATGTGCTTTGATCTCTTGACTGCTGCTTCCGTGAGTGTTGATAGTTGATCCAAAAAGAATGAAGTCCTTGACAACTTCAATCTTTTCTCTGTTGATAAGAATGTTGTTTAATGGTCCAGTGGTGAGAATTTTTGTTTTCTTTACATTGAGATGTAATCCATATCAAAGGCTGTGCTCTTTGATATTCATCAGTAAATGTTTTTAAGTCCTCTTCACTTTCAGCAAGCAAGGTTGTATCATCTGCATATCGCAGGTTATTAATGAGTCTTCCTCCAATCCTGATGCCACGTTTTTCTTCATAGAACCCAGCTTCTAAGTCCAAATTCAGAGTGCTGGCTCCAGGGGAAGGCTTTCCCTTTGTTGACTCAAGAGAAAGGTCTTTGTCTCCTTTCAGCATCTGTAGGCCCAGTATTCCTTAAAGGGTTCCGAACATTTTGGCATCAATCTGACCCTGTATCTAGGAGCTTTACTGTTCAGGGACCCTAGGTGCTAAGGACACACTCCACTCCTGGTTCTTCTGTCTTGGTAATAATAGGTCTTTGTCTGCTCATGTCTCTCTAATCTATTGTAGAATAAAAGATGTTGCATGTTACACCCTTGGAAATCTCCCATGCATCCGATCAGGGTTGTAGTGGGATTAAGGGTTGTGTATCCCACCTTTGGAGTCTTGGTGTGGTGCTATAGGATAAGCACTAGACTGGGAGCATCAAGGTCAGCAGTTCTAATCCATCAGTTGCTCCTCAGAAAATCTATATAGAGTCACTGTGAGTCAGAACCAACTCAATAGCACTTTAAAAGAGAAGAAAAATTTAAACATTTGCCACTAAAAGGAATAATAGGAAAGTGGTAGACCTGCATACTGACAAAGGCAGGAAACTTTCGGGACCTGGTAAAACAAGGCAGTACTGCTAAGTTCTAGCTCTCACAGATTTTATTGTTATTTCATTTGCTTTTGTTTCATTCAAAAAGGACAGTGATGTACAGTTACTTACATTATTCTGTGTGTTATACCTCTGAAGTACTTCCAACTAGCTGATCTCTCTCTCTCTCTTTTTTTTTTTTTTTAAGTTTTTATTGTGAATTGAGTGGTGTTTTACATGGAGGAACTTCAGTTTTATACTCATTGATTCATTGCAATGATTACAGTCTCCTCTGTGCATCATCATTCAACAATATTTGCTTCTATTTCCTCTGGTTTTGTTTTGTTTTGTTGGGGAGATACACAAAAACACTCAGGAATATATAATCATTTAAACAACCAAAGGGTACATTTTGCAAGCCTGCCTCCTGGCCACCAGCACATAGCCTTTCTCTTTCCATGAGTCTACAGTCCTCAGCTGTTCTATTTTTCCATATCTTCATCTCTGTCTCTGGATAGGGTCCCACATTCCACTCATGCTCTTCTCCTAAGGTCTTAAGGTCCTCTATTCTTGGGCTGTAAGATTAACTACTCCCCTCTTTTTATTACAAAATTATACCTTTACAGCTGTGACAGTCACTATTAGTCATGATAACAGTTGCTCACTATTGAAGCATAACAATCTTATCCCTATCTCTTTTCACCAGGCACGTCTAGATAAGATGAAAACTGTTCAGTAGGGTTTTATCTTCCCCCACACACTCTGAAACTGAAGTCCCTCTTGAAAAGTTGTAAGCCAGTCACTTCATGCCTTCATAACTCCCCATTTTAGATAACCATCGTCAAAGTTGCCTATCCCTATCAACCCTGTATACAGAGGAGATAGGATTGATCCTTGATTGGAGACGCCTTCGTTCTCAGTTGGTATTTGAGCTACTACATCCATGAGAGTTCATCAAATTATAGCAATTACACTTATTTCCTTTATGAATTTTTTTTTTTTTTAATCTTCCTATGGTCGAGTTTTGATCATCAAGCTATCGAAGCAAGGTCAAATGGGTACCCTCTACAAGTTTAGGCATTCTTGTGTGTCTCTCCTCATTTCATATAGCTGCTCTCTTTTGTTATCCAGTGATTTCCCATCCATTTTGAAAGGAATAAGCTGCGTAATGTTAAGGTATGAGTACCTTACCTGAGAAGTATGTGAGAAGTATGTTTACCTAGTGGACTGGCCATGGGACTTGAAAATTAGACAGCTATGAATCTTCCATACTGGCTGATGTTGATTTGCATTGACAGTCTTGGTTGTTAACACATTATAAGTATTAAATATTCATTGATTTGATTAGATTTGACGTGATTTGATTAGCATGGTTTTGAGTAATTTGTTTTCTCTGTACATTTCTATGTGTTTGGATTAGGGATCATGACAGCCCCTTTACTGTGAGATCTGTTGAGTCCCTTGTTGTTGAGTCATTCCTGACTCCTAGCAACCACATGCACGAAATTGGACCTTTGTAACCCATAGTATTCTTACTTGCTACTTTTCCAGAAGTAGATTATGAGGAATTTCCTCCTAGAATACTTCTTAGAAATGAAAATAGTAAGACTTTGTTTCACTTACTTTGGACATGTTGTTATCAGGAGCGACCAGTCCTTAGAGAAGAACATCATGTTTGGTAAAGTAGAGGGTCAGCAAAAAAAAAAAAAAGCAATAAGATGGATTAATATCATGGCTACAGGAATGGGCTCAAACATACTACCTACTATTGTGATTGTGGCACGGGACCAGGCAACATTTTGTTCTGTTATACATGAGGTCACAATGAGTTGAAATCAGCTCAACAACACCTAACAATAACAACAAGAAATATCTGCTTAGGTGTCTTCTGAGTGTGGGCTTTTCTCCAGTAAGCACTCATACCCACTCCCATCTTGATCCCAAAATATCTGTAGAGCAGACATTCCTGCACTAATGCAGTCAAGGCATGTGGTGGACAAGAATCATTACAAATAGACAAAGGCTTTGTGAGGGACGCATTAGCTCCACACATACAAAGCCAATTATAACCAACAGAAACCAAGTATGCAAATCATCAGGAATTCCCTGATGCTCCAGCTTGGAGAAGTTGACTATATTGATAGGAAAAAGTGGGGTGGGGAAGAAAAGGGAGCACAGATATATAAGTAAATATATTCTTTCCTTGGTCAAGATCTTAAAGTCAGATGAGAAAAGGCTTATGGCTTGATTTTCTAAACTCGGTGAAATAGTAGATTAGGCCTATAGTTTCCTGATTTGGGCCATACCATCTGAGACCATCACTGCACTGGAATTGATTCTGATAGAGCAGAACTGCTCTTTAGGGTTTTTCCAAAATGTAAATCTTTATAGAAGCAGAAAGCCTCATCTTTCTCCTGTGGAGTGACTGATTGTTTTGAACCAACAACCTTGTGATTAGCAATCCAGTGCTTATCCTACAGAGCCACTAGGGCTCCTACCATATGAGGCACCACTTTGAAATGAATATCATTTCTTGCTTGTGTGGACAAGTTGCAGGGTAAGGCAACTGTAAGGATCAGGGAAGGTGATACCAAGATTTGATACAAATTATAGTCCTTTTTAGATTTTTTCTGGTAACTTTCTTCTCATTCATCCTCTAGATGGCTGTCCCATGTCCTAAACTTTGTCTTCCTCTTCTTCTTTTTCCTCCCTTCCTCTTATCTCTGAAAGTCCTAGGCCACCAGACAACTTAAGGGAAAATAAGTGATGAGGAATAAGATACAGATGGCTTATGGGAACAAAACGATTTCCTGTTTCTCTGAACTTAAGCCCCAGATATATGAATATAATTTCTCACCCCAAAAGAAGCACGTTGCTTGATAATAGTCTTTTTAATTAAATACTTTCTTATGGTCACCTTTCTTGTAGGTATCTCTAAAGGAGAAGAGCCAAAAATATTGAGACCCCCAAGACGACCCCGGAAACCCAAAACTTTAAATAACCCTGAAGACTCCACATACTATTACCTACTCCATGTAAGTGGCTCGTTCCTCTTGTCAGATAGGAGCCATAGTAGTTGCTCACGGCCAGTGTGGAAGCAGGGGCCACACTAGACCAATCACGTGAGGTGCCTGGACTTCCTCTTCACTGCTGCTCCCCTAGCAGAATAACGGGATACTTGGTTCTCCTCCAGCTCTTCTTTTGTCATGATCCAAGCCCCACCTGTGATGCTATATCACCCATTTCTTCCCAGAAATTTTATTTGCTAGTCTGTTAGTCTAAACTGACATGAAAATGTTAACCCTAAAAGATAAGTTTGCTAGAAGGAGCTTTCTAGAAAGGGGTCTTAATGCTGATGCCTGTTAGGGCAAAAGTAGAAGGAAAAGGAGACATTGTGAAGTTCTACATAGGTTCTAGGCCTAGAGTGAGGCATGTTTACATACATTGTGATATCTAATCCTAGAAACAGCTCTGAAAGTGGTGTCTCCATCTCACAGATGAGGAGCCTGAGACACAAATAGCATTTCTGAGCAGTCAGGGCTACTAATGGTACTGAGGTCTTCTGACCCTGCAGCCCCCAGCTCACTCTCGGTCTGCAGTGTATCTCATGGACATCATTCCTGCCCACCCTGCTCTTCCTCTTGTGTTCCTGTTCTCCAGAATTACCTCCACTATCCTCTTTGTTACCTAACCCAAGTGCCTAGATTCTCTGTCATACCTGACATGTAATCATTTACTCTAACCCTGGCTTCTCCTTACACAAACTCTCTCCGATTCATCTCCCTATTCTAATCTGACAGCTCTTTCCCTATTTCACGTGCCTCCTAACTGCTTCTAATCTCAGCCTCTACATTCTATACTAGAAATTTTCTCTTATTCACTTTGGTGATATACTTGCCTGTTTCTTGCCATTAGGTCTGTGATATTGCTTCCTTCTGATCCACTGATTGGCTTAATCTCTTCTCTATTTAAACACTACTAGACAGAGTTCTGGTGTGGCGCTGTAGGATAAGCACTAAACCACAGGTAGTTTGAATCACAAAGTCAGTGGTTCAAACTCACCAGCAGCTCCTTGAAAACCCGGGACCATCTCAACAGCACTTAACAACAGACAGAATCCTGGTGTGACACTGTAGAATAAGCGCTGGACTGCTAACCGACCCGATGGCACTTAACAGCAATATATATATTGTTCCGATTCATGTGTTGTTGTTGTTAAGTGCCATCAAGTCAGTTCCAACTCATAGCGACCTGTATAGTATAGGATTTCTAAGGAGCAGCTGATGGGTTTGAACCACAAACCTTAGAGTTAGCAGTCTTGTGCTTTGCATATAGTGCCACACCAAGATACAATATATGTGTGTGTGTATGTATATATATATGAAGGAGCTCTGGTAGCATAGTGGTTACGAATCAGGCTATGAACCTCAAGGTCAGCAGTTCGAAACTACCAGGTGTTCTGTGGGAAAAAGATGAAGTTCTCTGCTCCTGTAAAGATTTACAGCCTCAGAAACCCTGTACAGGGTCGTTAACAAGAATGTGTGTGTGTGTGTGTGTATATACATATGTTGTTGTTAAGTGCCGTCGAGTCGATTCCAACCCATAGCGACCCTGTATAGGGTTTCCGAGGAGCAGCTAGTGAGCTTGAGCCACCAACCTTGCGGTTCAAATGGCTTTGCAGTCTGGCATATTAACCCACAGTGCCACACCAGGATGCCATATATATATACTGTGTATCTTTGGACTGTATCTTTATTTATATATATGGAGTATAAATAAATATATATATATGTCATTGTTGTTAAGTGCCATCGAGTCGATTCTGACCCATAGCGACCCTGTGTAGGGTTTCCAAGGAGCAGCTGGTGAGCTTGAACCACTGACCTTGCAGTTCAAATGACTTTGCAGTCTGACGCATTATCCCACAGTGCCACACCAGGATTCCAAATAGATATATACTCCATATATATAAAGATACACAAGGCCTGTTATACTCTGGGCCTCGCTTACCTTTCCAACCTTAGCTCTTGGTATTTCACCCCTTCAAATTCAACACTCCTGGCATTCAATCTACTTAATTCTCTTTTTATTCATCAAATTATACGTAGATGTTTATCCTGGGAATCCTCTTTCATTAGCCTAGACCTCACTTCCCCTTTCTCTTTCTACATTAAGAGCCTAGCATATCCTTACTCTGTTATTGTTGTTACTGTATTTGTTAGGTGCCTGCTAGTCACTTCTGATTTATATTGACACCATGGGCAACATATCAAAGCACTGCCTTGTCCAGTACACATCCTGCACACATCCTCAAAATTATTGTTACATTTGAGCCCATTGTTTTTGTCACTGTGTTAATCCGTCTCATGGAAGTCTTCTACTTTTTGTTGACCCTCTGTTTAATCAAGCATGATGTCCTTTTCTAGGGACTGTTCCCTACTAATAGCATGTCCAAAGTATGAGAGTTGAAGTCACACTATCCTGGCTTCTAAGGAGCATCCTGGCTGCATTTCTTCCACGACAGATTTTTTTTTTTCTTCATTTGAATTATTTCCATAATTCAAATACATGCATACTTCTACAACCCTCCTTGTTGTTGTTTTTAGGTGCCATCAAGTCGGTACCTACTCATAGTGACCTTATGCACAGCAGAACGAAACACTGCCTGATCCTGGGCCAACCTCACTATTGTTGCCATACTTGAGCCCATTGATGCTGCCACTTTGCTAGTCCATTTCACTGGGGGTCTTCCTCTTTTTCACTGACCCTCCACCCTACCAAACATGATATCCTTCTCCAGCAACTGGTCCCTCCTGACAATGTGTCTGAAGTATGAGAGACAGAGTTTGGCCATCCTGGCCTCCAAGGAGCACTCTGGCTGCACTTCTTCCAACACAGGTCTATTGGTTCTTTTGGCAGCCCATGGCACCTTCAATATTCTTCTCCAACACCATAACTCAAAAGCATCACTTCTACGGTCTTCCTTATTCACTGTCCAGCTTTCACATGCATATGAAATTATTGAAAATACCATGTCAGGTGCACCTTATTCCTCAAGTTGACATCTTTGCTCTTCAACATTTTAAAAGGTCTTGTGGAACAGATTTGTCTAATGCAATACGTCCTTTGATTTCCTGACTGCTGCTTCCAGGAGTGTTGATAGTTGATCCAAGAAGAATGAAGTCCTTAACAACTTGAATCGTTTCTCCATTGATAAGAATGTTGTTTAATGGTCCAGTGGTGAGGATTTTTGTTTTCTTGACATTAAGATGCAATCCATACCAAAGGCTGTGGTCATTGATCTTCATCAGTAAATAGTTTAAGTTTTCTTCACTTTCAGCAAGCAAGATTGTATCATCTGCATATCACAGGTTATTAATGAGTCTTCCTCTACTCTTGATGCCATGCTTTTCTCCATATAACCCAGCGTCTCAGATTATTTGCTCAGCAAACAGGTTGAATAAATATGATGAAAGAATACAACCCTGTCGCACAACTTTCTTAATTTTAAAACATTCAATGTTCCCATGTTCTATTCGAACAACTGCCTCTTGGTCCAGGTACAGATCCCTCATGAGCACAATTAAGTGTTCCAGAATACTCATACTTCGCAGTGTTGTCCATAGCTTGTCATGATCCACACAGTTGAAAGACTTTGCGTAGTCAATAAAGCACAGATAAACATCTTTCTGATGTTCTCTGCTTTCAGCCAAGATCCATCGGACATCAGCAATGATATCCCTCATTCCACATCCTCTTCTGAATCTGGTTTGAACCTCTGGAAGTTCTCTGTCAATGTATGCTTGCAACCGTTTCTATATTACTTATTGTTATTCATTATTAAAATATAGAATTTATTTCACATGTATATTTTTGTCTCCCCATCATATTCATGTGTCTGACCACTGCTACCACTATGTCCTACCATAACAATCCATACACACTTAGAACCAAGCAAAGCGTGGAGTTCCATCTTTAAAAACTGAACAGGCATTTTGGACAATACATTCTTGGCAAAGGAACCTGGACAACATTTATCAGACATAGTAGGAAGTTCTCACTCTGCATTATAAAAATGGACAGGTATCAACTGTTACAGAAATGAAATAAGACGGAAAATTTTAACAAACTGTTTAAACTATTTTCTCAAAGAGACTTCCTCCACTGCCAGAGATCTTGACTAGCCTCTTGGTCTGTCATCCGGAAACAATTCTGCACATAATTGAGGAATTTGGCTTCCACCTTGGGAAGGGAACCACCTTTTTCTATACTTGCTTGCATTGTTGCTTTAATACCTTCTACAGAACTAGGTCCTTTCGGTGTTTTAGGTGTTTTTTCCTGTTTTTTGAAGGATTTTTGACCTTTTGATCTTGGTGTTGATGGTTTTAAGTCTTTTCCATTCTGGTTTGACTTTTGTGCATTTTAAGCTGGCGTGTCCCATTTAGATTTCTTCACTGGAACTTTTTCTTCAATTTCATCATCATCAAAATCATCATTATCGTCATTGTTGTCATCATCATCTTCTTCATCTGCAGCAAGCTTTACTTTTTTCTATGGAACCTTGTTAGCACTTGCAGGGGCAAACCGCTTTCCTGATATACTTCTTCCTCTTCATCATCTAACTCAGCATCTTTCTCCACAGCTACTAAGTGCTGAGCCACACTTCAACCATAAGACCACTAGTGGCATTATTTCAAAGCCCCCAAGGGAGACCGTTGGCTGTACAGACATTTTCAAAGTAGCCAGTGTGACTTTAATTGGGCTACCTTCATAATTCATTGCCTCTGCTTCAACAATATGCAATTCATCCTTGGCACCAGCCCCTAAACTGACTGTTCTTAATGATAACTGTTGCTCATTTTCATGATTATACACCTTAAAGTGATAGTCTTTATCGGCTTTTAGTTCACAACTGAAGAAATAGTTTTGGGGCCTCAGAGGGCTCATGTCCATATCCATCGACTCCTCCATGGGGTGATGGTGTGCACTTAGGTGATAGAGAAGAAGGGCAGACAGAACTGGGTTGGTGCTACTG